TCATTTTTTGCTAAACGGCCCCATTAAGGAGTTGAAGGGTTGGCCCCTAAATATTTCTTTTGCTTATATCTCAAAAACGAAAAAGAATTTCTGAACAGTTGTTGAACAAAAATGTTCAAAATCTTAAGATTATTAAGATGAGATCCTAAAAAAGGGGCTGGGCACTCGAATTAGGGGCCAAGAGGGGCCAAAAGTCTTCAATCGACAACTCTTTAGCAGTTTATATTTTGTAATACATTACTGAAGCAAAGATGTTTATCTCAACCATTTACAACTATATATCATGATTTTTATGTCGTATGGTACATAATTAGGGGCCACAAGGGGCCAGAATGCTAAATCTTTGATGCTTTATATTTATATCTTTATATCTCGAAAGGGAGAAATATTTTGATAAGCAATATTGAACAAAAGTTGTTCAAAATAATGTTTTTAACAATATGCAACCTTTCATTTTTTGCTTAACGGCTCCATTAAGGAGTTGAAGGGTTGGCCCCTAAATATTTCTTTTGCTTATAGCTCAAAAACGAAAAAGTATTTTTGAACAGTTGTTGAACAAAAAATGTTCAAAATCTTAAGATCTTTAGATTTTTGATGATATGAAAAAGAGGGCTGATTCCTAAAATTAGGGGCCGTTAGGGGCAAAATCACCGATTTTTAAAATTTTGTTAAGTCTTTAAATGTTCAATGTCTTTTTACAGATTGTGGTAAATCATTATTTTAGAATAAAAATTGCAATCAAAATCTTATCTCATCTCATCAAGAATTGGACGGAAGACCCACTCGTTGCTCGCAACGAGATCTCATCTAGTTATTATTATTATTATTATTTTTCTTCCAACCGATTTTGTGCAAGCGATTTCTCAGAGATGGCTCGTCCGATTTATACCAAACTTTCTTGTTATTCTTCGGTTTCTTTTTTTCCTATTATTATTATTATTATTATTATTATTATTATTCTTACCGAGATCTGAAAGATATTCAATTGATCTTGATAGGTTTTTTTTCTTTTTGATGATCTCACTTCCGGTCGTGAGATATGGTCGATTTTCTGATTTTCAGAGGGTCGGCTTGTCCAGGAAACTCCTCCGAAACGACTAAAGATATCAACTTAAGATTTTCAGTGAAAGTAAAGGAAGGTTTGGTGAGTTGTAATTGGGTCTCCAAATCTTTCTAGCGCAAAAGGCGCCGGAGCTCGGTAGGGCCCGAAAAAATGTCTCAGAAATATCTCACAAAAATTGACACATTTTGTTTCATATCTTCATACGCGTTCATAATTTGTTAAAGCATATTGAAGAAAAAATGTGCAAAATCACAAGGCCTTTCATTTGATGTCAAAAAAATGGGGCTGACCCCTAAAATTAGGGGCTCAGAGGGGCCGAAAGTCTTTTATCTATAACTCTCTAATGATCAATATTTTGTTATACATTACAGAAGCAAAAGTATTTATCTTAACTATTTGCAACAATATATGATACAATTTTGATCATATGTTACGTAATTAGGGGTCACAAGGGGCCAGAATGTCAAATCTTTGACGCTTCATATCTCGAAAAGGGTGAATATTTTGATAAGCAATATTGAACAAAAGATGGCTAGATTAATGTGCTAAACAATATGCATACTTTGAATTTTTGTAAAACGGCCCCATTAAGGACTTGTAGGAGTGGCCCCTAAATATTTATATAAAGCATATCTCCTAAACGAAAAGAAATCTCTGAATAGGTGTAGAACAAAAAGTCTTTGAAATCACAAGACCTTTCGTTTGATATCAAGAAAAAGGGGCCGACTCCTCAAATTAGGGGCTGAGAGGGGCCAGAAGTCTTTCATCTTTAACTCTTTAATGATCAATATTTTGTGATGCATTACAGAAGCAAAGATGTTCATATTAACGATTTGCAACAATATATGATACAATTTTGATCATATGTTACGTAATTAGGGGTCACAAGGGGCCAGAATGTCAAATCTTTGACGCTTCATATCTCGAAAAGAGTGAATATTTTGATAAGCAATATTGAATAAAAGATGGCTAGATTAATGTGCTAAACAATATGCATATTTTGAATTTTTGTAAGGAGTGGCCCCTAAATATTTATATAAAGCATATCTCCTAAACGAAAAGAAATCTCTGAATAGGTGTAGAACAAAAAGTCTTTGAAATCACAAGACCTTTCGTTTGATATCAAGAAAAAGGGGCCGACTCCTCAAATTAGGGGCTGAGAGGGGCCAGAAGTCTTTCATCTTTAACTCTTTAATGATCAATATTTTGTGATGCATTACAGAAGCAAAGATGTTCATATTAACGATTTGCAACAATATATGATACAATTTTGATCATATGTTACGTAATTAGGGGTCACAAGGGGCCAGAATGTCAAATCTTTGACGCTTCATATCTCGAAAAGGGTGAATATTTTGATAAGCAATATTGAACAAAAGATGGCTAGATTAATGTGCTAAACAATATGCATACTTTGAATTTTTGTAAAACGGCCCCATTAAGGACTTGTAGGAGTGGCCCCTAAATATTTATATAAAGCATATCTCCTAAACGAAAAGAAATCTCTGAATAGGTGTAGAACAAAAAGTCTTTGAAATCACAAGACCTTTCGTTTGACATCAAGAAAAAGGGGCCGACTCCTCAAATTAGGGGCTGAGAGGGGCCAGAAGTCTTTCATCTTTAACTCTTTAATGATCAATATTTTGTAATGCATTAAAGAAGCAAGATGTTCATATTAACGATTTGCAACAATATATTATAAAATTTTGATCATATGTTACGTAATTAGGGGTCACAAGGGGCCAGAATGTCAAATCTATGACGCTTGATATCTCGAAAAGGGGGAAAATTTTGATAAGTAATATTGAAGAAAGGATGGTCAGAATAATGTTTTAAACAATATGCATACTTTGAATTTTGGTAAACAGGCCCCATTAAGGACTTGTAGGGGTGGCCCCTAAATATTTATATTAAGCATTTCTCCTAAACGAAAAGAAATCTCTAAACAAGTGTATAACAAAAAGTCTTTGAAATCACAAGACCTTTCGTTTGACATCAAGAAAAAGGGGCCGTCTCATCAAATTAGGGGCTCAGAGGGGCCAGAAGTCTTTAACTCTTTAATGATCCATATTTTGTAATAAGTATACATTTTGAGAAGCAAAGATATTCATTTTAACGATATGCAACAATATGTTATAATATTTTGATCATATGTTATGTAATAAGGGATCGCCAGGGGCCAAAATGCTATATTTTTTATGCTTTACGTCTCGAAAAGGGGGAGTATTTTTATAAGCAATATTGAACAAAAGATGTTCAGAATATTGGATAAAAAAACAGAAACTTTAAATTTAATGAAGAAAAACTTAATGTCATTCTCTTTTAACGAATATCTCAGTCAAAATCACATCTCATCTTCTCGTTTCTAGTTATTATTATTTTTCTTCCTGGGAAAATTTTGTCCGCGAGTGATCTTGTAAACTACACATCCGACTTAGGTGAAACCTTTTTAGGGTAAGTAGGCATGTTATGTAGATTTGCGGAATCAAGGTCATTTTGCGTGCACGTGCTTGCAAGAGCGCGCACGTGCAAAACTTAAAATGACCAATATATAATGGATATAACCGTAACTTCTCTATTTTGTGACGAAATGTTTTGAAACTTATAATGTAAGGATATATTAGTAGTATGCACAAGATGACATGGCCAAAATAGCAAGATCGCACGCGCATGCACGTGTGCTTCGCTCTGATTGGCTGAAACTAAAGTCTCAATATTTTTTTTGTTTTTTGATAAAATCATTTGAAATTTTGAACATAGTCATACATTAGGGAGATCTACAGCCTGTAATATAAGATTTTTCATGAAAGCATGTGCATGCACATGTGCTTGCAAGAGCTCGCACGTGCAACACGAGAAATGTCCAATATAATTGATACAGATGTAACTATTAAAATTATTGATGAAATGCTTTGAAACTCATTTTATAAGTATATATTAGAAGCATAGACAAAATGACATGGTCAAAAAAGTAAGATCTCACGCGCATGCACGTGCGCTTCTCTCTGATTGGCTGAAACTAAAGTCTCAATATCTTTCTTGTTTCTTGTCATAATCCTTTGAAATTTTGAACATAGACCTACATTATGAAGATCTACAGCATGATATATAAGAATTTTCATGAAAGCATGCGCATGCCCGCGTGCTGCAATCTGATTGGCTGAAATTTTAAATGGCTATATCTACTTTGTTTTTTGACGAAATGCTTTGAAATTTAAAACATTGTCATGCATTAAGATATCCTACAATATGATATAGAAAAAAATCATGAAATCACGCGCATGCACGTGTGCTGCAATCTGATTGGCTTAAACTTGAAATGCCTATAACTCCCTTGTTTTTCAACCAAACAGGATGGGATTTAGAATATAGATAGATGTAAGGGACTCCTACAAGAAGGTATGGTCATCATGCACGTGCACGCACGTGCGTGCATTTGGAACGAGTGAAATGAAAAATACACTTGAAAGAGTGATTTTTCATACTTTTGGACTGAATGCTTTAATATATTGTATATTAAAATATGTAGATAGTGTAGACAAGTTGATATGATCATAACGCACATGCATTCACATGCGCACGGATGCAATGCTAAAATTTGAATATAATTGGTATCCTTCTGAGAAAACGTTGTTAAAGTCAAAATGCACAGAGTTTGTCTTCTTTAATGAAGCTTACAGGGAATATGGCACCAAAAAGGAGTTGGGGAGCGTTTGGGGAACATCTGTAACGGTCCCCGTTACAATTAGCACTAGTTAATGTATGTTATATGGTTGGATCCAAACTCAAAGCAAAGTTAGACAAAAATTGCATTAAAAAAAGAGACATATTAATTTATCATAATGTGCTTTAATTACATGTAGTTATATTACAAATAGACAGTAACATTCACAGACAGATTTCTGACTCAGTGATTGCCTCCATTTTTTGTCACTCACCAGTTATGAAGTAGATCGATCCTATATATAGTCTTCCTTCTTCATATTCTGTTATTTTCTTAAAAAGTTGACAAAGATCAGTGACTGTACTGTTTATTGGACACACCTTGTGAGAGGGTGAAAAACTACAAATTACAAAAGCATAATAAGAATTTGACAAAATATCAAAATCATAAGCAATCATACAAATTAAATGTGTAACTTGAACATGTGAGCTGAACTGGCCTATGCCTATCGCATGCTGGAAATGCGCGGTTTTACAAAACATTGTAGTTGCAGAATTTAAACATGATAAAATATATTGCATAATACTGTTAGATACAGATGATCAAGTTAGATATAAATTCAAGTAAAACAATATAAAACTTACTCCTTAGGGAGGCCAACATCACCAAACTTAACAGCCAAAACGCCAGGCAAACCGCATGACTATCATAATTAGTATAAACAGAATATTGAACCCGATCGAAATAAAATTATGCAAATAATAGATCACAAATACTGATTCTACCACTCTACAAATTCCCACTTCCAACGTCTCGCGCGTTTTCAAGTTTGCGCCTATTCAAAAATGTACGGTAGAGCTAAGAAATACGTTAGTTTCGAATTTCCAAGATTTCTGTTTAAAAAAAATTACAAACCTATCTGAATAATTTTTCACTGAAAATACAATTTTTTATATCAAAATAAGTTTTATCAATATAGAATTCGAATTTTTTACGTTATAAATTATACTTGTATTGACTTTTAGTTTCGTATAGCAAGTATGGCGGCCCCCTATGACTAATCTCAGCGAGATGTCGTAGGGACTAAAATATTTGGTCGGACGATATAAAACGTTTTTACGAAGCTCACAAAGTTCATTTTCCAGAATGTTTCATTTTCCAACAACTTGTTTAAAGTTTGATGTTAGAGAAAATTCGGTCGAACAAAGTTGTGTGATGAAAAACGACATTAATTAAAGCACATTGTGATGAATATAACTGTTTAATTTAAATTATGAAGAAACACGAGTAATGAATTTGAAAAAAAAAATGCTGTCAATGGTGATGCACTGTTTGTTTAATTAAAATCAAATAAAAACACGAAATGTTTAGAGATTTCATGATTTATTTTTTCAGATGGTGAAAGAATGTTAGTAACTATAAATTATACCAGGGGCATGTTCAACAATTGCATCTGCATGCAAAAGTTGTATTATGAGAGTATTGAGTGTTTTCTGTCAATCATTTTTGTCAATTATTTTAGTCTTCATGAAAATTCATGAACATTCATAATACCTTGAACTCTACATTTTTTCTGTCTTTAAAATGAAAATTACCAATATCCATATATATTCATCATTTGTTCATGAACTACATTTTATGAATATATTCATGAATAAAGTTCATGAACCATCTTTATGAACCAGTCATGAACACATCATGAATGTTCATGAACGATTCATAAAAGTTCCTGAAATTATGAATTTCACCTCGCAGGGGACATGAGTTTGGGTATCGAGATATATAAATTCCATATGCAGGTGATGAAGGTATATTGCTGCATAAGTTAGGGAAGTTGACAATAGAAAAGTTAAAGTCATCACGTTTAGAGCTTGGTTGTTAGATTATCATGAACGCCTTTTTCAAATTAAATATTCAAATATGAAACAGCTGCGTCAGACTCTGTGGTATCTTTTATACCATAAATTGGCAGATTGATCTGGGGCCATTCACCTTCCCTCTGGAATAAATATATCTTCTTCTTGGACTATTATGATGCATTTAGGCAATAACTGACAAAAATTCTCTATAAAAGCACAAGACGTCCGTGTTTGCGTCGATCCTATTTTTTTTAAGGTTTCAGGGACTTTTAAGCTCGAACACTGTTCTTTATCTCCACGTATTCCATGATTGTTTGCATTGTTCTAAACAGCTTATT